ACTAAGTCCCCTGACCCTCTAAGTGCACGGGAGCTAGTCTCGTGTAGTACATCCATGGGCCTTTACCTTGGATACTACTCACTCTTTCGGGCCAGAGAAGCAACAAGCAATCTACAACCCCGCACGCGGTTTAGGGTTTAGGGCCTAGGGTTCGGCACCCGGTCAAGGGTTTAGGGCCCTCTTACGATCTCTCATTACCGCGGGTTGGGACAGAATCAGGGAACATACTATGAAAGGACGGTGTAGAGGGATTGGAGTCCCTTATTCCCTTGTAACAACCGGTAAGTTGTGCTCGTCCCATCTCACCATCTCCTTACCTATGACCCTGACATTCCTCATCACTGCTGCAAGGGGACCCTCGCAAAGGTGGAATATGGGCACCCGTGAAAAGTAACAAGTCCTGGAACCCAACAATGGTTTTTTGATGCTTCAGACTTCCGGCCCCCCAAATCAAACGCAAGCAAATGCAACAACCTGAATGGGACAGGCAGAGCCCTCACGGAAATGTGTCCGAAAGTAAAATCGAGAACCCAATTTGCTGTCTCAGGCTCTCCGACCCTGAACGGCGCGAATCCCAAGCGATCAAAACGTACTAAAATCTAGGTACGCTCATCTGAGGGTCCAAAACGCAACTGGCACCTCCGTCAAGCCCGTACTGTTTTCTGCCGAAACCTTTGCTGTATTCGGCATGCATCAGCAGGCTTCTGCTGCAGCTATGACGCAGCTGGCCCCAGGAAAGCTTACTATTTTGCTAGAGGTAGGCCTTAGACAGTTGGTCCTAAAGCGTTGATTCAAAGACTAGCCTTGTGACTCGACTTGAAGATGATTGCAGCAGATGATACCTATGCTGACTGGGTCCCAAGATAGAGAACGATTTCGTCCCAGGAAACAGGGCCACCTTCTTAACGACTAGCCACAACAGATTGTTTCGGGTTGCCGGCACGGATTTCGGCAGAGCGTCGTCAAATTGTCACAAGCACATGCGTGTGGCCAATCATAAGGAAACATTGAAAAAACGTCGAAGAGAAAAAAAAAAAAAAAAAAGCTA